AAAGTGCTAAGTTGGATAAATCCCCTGGTCCTGATCAGCTATATCCAAGAACCTTGCAAGGGGTTAGGGAAGAAATTGCAGGGACTCTGACTAATATATTTGCATCATCGTTAGCCACAGGTAAAGTCCTGGAGGACTGGAGGGTAATGAATGATGAATTATTAAAGAAGGGCTGCAAAGAAAAACCTGGAAATTATAGACCAGTAAGCTTATCATCTGTGGTAGGTAAGTTACTTGAGAAGGTTCCAAAGGATAAGCTATACATTCATTTGGAAAGACAGGGTTTGATTAGGAGTAGTCAGCATGGTTTTGAGCGTGGGAGATCATGACTCACAAATTTATTAGAGTTCTTTAATGAAGTGACTGGGAAGGTTGATGAGAGCAGGGCAGGAGACATAGTCTGTATGGATTTCACTAAGGCCTTTAATAAGGTTCCACATGGTAGGCTGCTCTGGAAGGTTAGATCACATGGAATCCAGGGAGAGTTGATAGTTTGGGTACACAATTGACTTGATGGTAGGAAGCAGAGGGTAATACTGGAAGAATGCTAGTCTGACTGGAGGCCTGTGAATAGTGGTGTGCCTCAGGGGTCGGTGCTGGGCCCATTGCTGTTTGTTATCCATATTGTTGATTTGGATGAGAATGTACAAGGCATGATTAGTAAGTTTGTGGAAGACACTAAAATGTGTGGTATTGCAGATAGTGAAGAAGGTTATCAGAAATTGCAGCAGGATCTTGATCAGTTGGGAACGTGGGCCGAGAAATAACAAATGGATCTTAATATATATGTGTGAAGTGTTGCATTTTGGGAAGTCGAATCCAGGTAGGTGTTTCATGATGAATGGTAGGGCGTTAAGGAGTGTAGTGTAAGGGAGGGACCTTGGAGTTCATGTGCACGGTTCTCTGAAAGTGGAATCACAGATAGGCATGGCAGTGAAGAAGGCTGTTGGCACACTGGCCTTCATCATTCAGGGTATTGAGTACAGAAGCTGGGAAGTTATGATGCAGTTGTACATGACGTTGGTGAGGCCGCATTTGGAGTATTGTGTTCAGTTTTGGTCACCTTGCTATAAGAAAAATGCTTTTAAACTGGAAAAAGTGCAGAAGAAATTTACAAGGATGTTGCCAGGACTCAAGGGACTGAGTTACGGGGAGAGGTTAGACAAGCTCAGGCATTTTTTTAGAGCATAGGAGACCGAGAGGGGCTCTTGTAGAATTGTATAAGATCATGAGAGGCATGGATAGGGTGAATACACTCAGTCTTTTTCCCAGGGTTGGGGAATCGACGACTAGACGGCATCAGTTTAAGGTAAGAGGGATAAGAATACATGGGAATCTGAGGGGCAACATTTTTACACAGAGGGTGGTACGCATATGGAACGAGTTGCAATTGGAAGTGGTTGAGGCAGGTACATTAAAAACATTTAAAACATATCTGGACAAATACATAGATAGGAAAGGATTCGAACAATATGGGCCAAGTGCAGGGAAATGGACTTAGCATGGATGGACATTTTGGTTGGCACGGACCAGTTTGGGCCAAAGGGCCTGTCTCTGCAATGTAGGACACTATGACTGAAATTTCATCCTGGACAAATATGATTATCTAATCTTTTAATCATCTCTTAGAAAAAAATCAATTCCTCTTGTCATGGGGATTTTGGTTAAGTGTCCTCTTTCAATATAAACTTCAGAAGTCATCAAATCCTTACAATGTGGAAGCAGGCTATTGAGCCTATCAAATCCAAACCGACTCTCCAGGGAGCATACCAACTAGCTCCAACCCTATCAGTGTATTTATCATGGCCACCTAACCCATACACCTTTGGACGGGAGGAGGAAACTGGAGCACCCAGAGGGAAGCAAAGCAAACTCCACACAGAATCACTTGAGGATGAAACTGAATCTGGGTCCCTCGCGTTGTGAGGCAGCATTGTTAATTACTAAGCCACAGTTCCACCCGTCTCTGCCTTCAGTGGTATTTTTATTCACTCTACCTATTGAGCACGTCATCTTCTATAGGCCTGACTGCATACACTGTACAGTCCTGATGATTCTGTATTTTCAGATGTAAGTCTAATGCTGTCCTTATCTCTGGAATTTTCGATGTCAACACAGCTGTGAGCTTTAGCCTCGATATTGTAATTCAGTGTTCTGACGCTGAGCTGCCATCTTATTCGGGTATAACACAAAAATGAATTCAGAGTTGTGTTTTTTTCCGTTTATTTGAAGTCTTCTGATTGTCTGTGTTGGTTTACCAGAGTCTTCCAATTGTATTTGTTTGCTTTTGAAATTTTTTGATATTTTGTTCTGCCGTTTGATGTCTTCTATTTTTTTTTTCAGTTTTTAGCTTCTTGTTCTGACAATTGTTGTCTCCAGTCCTTTTTCTTTCTCCCTCAAGGATTCTGAACTGTCTTCAATTTGCCAGCAATAGGAACATAGGAACATAGAACATGAGGAGGCATTTCAACTCCTAGAACTTATGCAGACATTTACTAAGATCTTGGTCTCACTCCGTTCCCTAACTTTGGTCCACATCCTTTAATACCTTTGCTTAATAAAAATGTATCTTTCTCAGATTGAGAACGAACAATTGTTCTAGGATCAACTTTTGTTGGTGGAAGACAGCACCAAACTTCTTCTACCCTTTCTGTGTAGCCAAGGTTCCTACCATTGATCTTGGACAGGCTGGCTGAGTGGACAAATATTTGGCAAATGCAATATAATATGGATAAATATGAGGTTATCCTATTTGGTCACAAAAACTGGAAGACAGATTATTATCTGAATGGTGGCAGTTTAGGAAAAGGTGACGTGCAACGAGACCTGGATGTCATAGTGGAATAGTTGCTGAAGGTTGGCATGCAGATTCAGCAGGCAGTGAGGAAAGTTAATGGCATGCTGGCCTTCATAATGAGAAGATTGAATTACGGAGTAAGTAGAACTGAGTTCTGAGGAAGGGTCACCGGACCCGAAATGTTAACTCTGTCTTTTCCCTTCACAGATGCTGCCAGGTCTGCTGAGCTTTTCCAGCAACTTTGTTTTTGTCCCTGATTTACAGCATCCACAGTTCTTTCAGTTTTTACTGGAGTAAGTGTGACTTGCTGCAGTTATACAAGCCCTTTGTGAGGCCACACTTTGAGTATTGTGTACAGTTTTGGTCTCCTAGTCTGAGGAAGGACATTCTTGCTATTGAGGGAGTCCAGTGAAAGTTCATCAGAACAATTCTTCGGAGGACAGAACTGACATTTGAGGAAAGACTGTTTCGACTGGGCTTGTATTTGCTGGAATTTAGAAGAATGATTGGGGATGAGGATAGAGGGTATAAGTGAATGATAGGTGGAGATGGAGCCTGGAGAGAGAGAAAAACAGTTGCCGGAAACGTCAGCCTTCCAGCTCCTATGATGTTGCTTGGTCTGCTGTGTTCATCCAGCTCTACACCTTGTTATCTTGGACAGATAAAGGAATGGGTGAACATCAGCCTGGAAGAACGAATAGCAGCTATTTGAGGCCATTCGTGGCTGATAATGGGTTGTTCGTGGTAGCAACTCCTGTGATGACAACCATGTGATGATGCACAGAGGATGAGGTAAGGACATGGGAGAAGGTGCCGAGGGCCTGAAATTATTGAACTAATGTAGAGTCCAGAAGGTTGCAAGGTTCTCAAGTGGAAAATGAGGTATTGATCTTCCTGCTTGCGTTGAGTTTCGCTGAAGCACAGTAGCAAGCCTAGTCCAGAGATGTTGGCCAGGGAACACGATCGTGTGGTAAGATGGAAGGCAATAACATTTGCCATTGCTAAAAGAGCAGCTCAGGGTAAAGTTGAGAATTGAACATAGGTGTTCAGCAAAGTGATCGCCCAGTATGCACTTTGTCTCCCCAGTGTAGAGGAAACTGTATTGTGAGCAGTGAATGCAATATAGATTGAGTGAAGTGCAGGTAGATCACTGTTTCACCTGGGGCCCTGCATATTGAGGGGGAAGGAAGTAAATAGGCAGGTGTTATACCTTGTGCAATTGCCTGAGTAGGTGTGGATAGGGATTTGGGGTGGTGTTGAGAGTCGGATCCTTCTCCTCAGTCATCCCACCGAGATGTGTCATCGTGTCACTGCATTCTATTTCTTCTGCCATATTTCTGTGTATTCCAGCTATGTCCCAAAGAAGTCTATAACACTCCTCTGCATTCTCTGTTATTTTTAAACACTTATACATAAGTCTTGGTTATTAAAATATGACAAAACATTAATCAGCATAATATATATCTCTGGGAGCATTCACCTCACTCTTCTCACTTTTCAAAAAATAAACTGCTCGCCAGTCTCTATTTCCTGTCCTTTACCAGTTTTTTGTAATCAAGTAATTACTGTTGCTTTCATCTTGGTGGCTTCAATATTGATAACTTTCTTTTAGTACTTCATCAAACTTAATGTTCAATGTTCAAATATCTAACATTTTGAAATTACATCGGAGGATAAGATCGTGGAGATGAAATACCAACACATGTTGCTGATATTAAGGTGCAAGCGAAAACAACCCTAAAGAAAGTGGTGAGATATTATCTTCATGATAACTCGAAAAATAAAAGTTCCACTTTTTACGTATTTAAGTTAGAATATTTTTATTGCACACCCATATATATTACACTGAACAACTTACAAATATTTTCTCAACAGTCTTGCTTTAAGAACAGTTGCTGCAGTTATTGGTTGAGACTGTTCGTGTCGCTGTCTACCAATAAGGAGCCAGGACGATGCCAGAGATCGACCCCCTTCCCCCACCCTCCACCACCTTCTCGCTTGGGAAAGAAGTCAGACGGTGCCTGCGTCTCTATTGTGCAGCCATGTTCCGATAAGCTCACCCTTTCAGTCGCTGTATTTCTCAGTTCAACATTAGTCGTCAGAAATATATTGAAATAGTTGTTGCGTTAGGAACAAATTAAGATATGTTTCGACATTTTTGAACAATTTCTTGATAAATAAAAATGACGAATACACCGACGAGCAAAGCGCTTTTTATTTTCCTGTCGTGCGTTTGCCATCTGGTTTTTGGACAAATCTGCTACTCAATTCCCGAGGAGATGGAGCGTGGGGCCTTTGTTGGGAATATCGCCGAGGATTTAAGGCTAAACATTTGGGAATTATCGACTCGCAGATTTCGGCTGGTCTCCGACGACATAAGGCAATATATAGAGGTAAACTTGGAAAATGGCAATTTATTTATTAATAAAAAAATAGACAGAGAACAGTTTTGTAGACAAAACCCCACCTGCTCCTTTGCTTTTCAAATAGCGCTCAAGGACCCCACGGAAATGCATCCTGTCGAAGTCGAGATTATAGACGTAAATGATAATTCGCCCAGTTTTGAGAAGATAGAATATTCGTTGCAGATCAGTGAGTTAATTGCACCAGGGGCGCGTTTCCCCCTCGAAAGCGCGCACGATCCCGATATGGGCACAAACACAATCAGCACTTACCAGATCAGTGCAAATGGGCATTTCGCTGTCAAGGTGCAGTCGATGAGAGATGGGAGTAAAAGTGCCGAGCTGTTATTAGAGAAGCCATTAGATCGTGAGCGGCAGTCGACATTTTACCTTACACTGACGGCCATTGATGGCGGGGTTCCTCACAGATCTGGCACAGCACAGATTATCATCACCGTGGTAGACGCAAACGATAACGCGCCTACTTTCGACCAAGAAATCTACAGAGCGAAAGTACTAGAAAACGCCGCCAAAGGTACATTGGTCATAAAACTTAAAGCTGCTGATTTGGATGAAGGCACCAATGCTGAACTGACGTACTCTTTCACTAATCATGTTACTAAAAGGGATCGCGCGTTGTTCACCTTGCATCCGAGAACTGGAGAGATCAGAGTTCAAGGAACATTGGATTTTGAAGAATCGCCTGTTTGCGATCTTGACATACAAGCTGTCGATAACGCTCCGCCTGGATTTTCTGGACGTTGCAAAGTTGTGGTTGATATAATTGATATTAATGATAATGCCCCCGAATTAGACGTGACTTTGGTGTCAAGTGCGGTGCAAGAAGACACTCCTCCAGGGACTGTGATAGCACTGATGAGTGTAACGGATCTCGACTCCAGTGAATATGGCAAAGTTCAGTGCCAGATTCAAGGGAATATTCCGTTTAAACTCGAAAACCCTGTGGTGAACAGTTATAAGTTGATTACAGGTGACGTTCTCGATCGGGAAACGGTGTCACTCTATAACATTACCATTTCAGCCTGGGATGGAGGCTCGCCCCCTCTAACCACAAGCAAAATCGTAACAGTTTCGGTAACTGATATAAATGACAACGCACCGAGGTTTACACAATCCTCATATAACGTGTATCTGATGGAGAACAACACTCCGGGTACTTCTATATTTGCTGTTACGGCGCTAGACATTGATTTGGGTAGGAATGGAGAAGTATCCTATTCTATTCTGGAAGGTCAAGCGCAAGATCGGTCTGCGCCTGTTTACGTCACGATTAACTCCAAAACTGGCAACATATACCCACTGCGCTCCTTTGATTATGAGCAAGTGAAGCATTTCAAGATCCAAATTCAAGCCCAGGATGGTGGATCACCACCATTGAGCAGCACTGCTAGTGTCAATGTCATAATTTTAGATCAAAATGATAATCCGCCGGTTATCACTTCTCCTTTGACGTGGAACGATTCTGCAACGATGGAGATTTCGTCTCAGTCCGTATATCCAGGTTACTTGGTCACTAAAGTTCTAGCAACAGATGCCGATTCCGGCCAAAACGCACGGCTGTCCTACCAATTTTTAGAGGCTACTGGTCGCAATTTGTTTACTGTAGGCCTTCTCTCTGGCGAAATTAGAGCAACACGGCACTTAAACGACAAAGACATAATAACAGAAAAACTGGTCATCTGTGTGAAGGACAATGGACAGCCGAGCCTCTCCAGTACGGCCACAATCGTGGTTTCAATTTTATCTAATATTACCGAGAAACCTTTGGATGGAACTAACAAACCTTTGCAACCTGAGTACTTTTCTCATCTGAATCATTATTTGATTATCATTTTTGGATCAACTTCCTTTCTGTTTCTTATAACAATTATTCTTCTCGTGTCTTTGAAGTTGAAGCAAGGCAGACATATTAATGAAAACTATAATTCTACTGCACATTGTCACGACCGTAGGAATTCGACAGATGTCCTTAATCGGGGATACGCAACAAACGAGCCAATTAACTATACTGTACCTTGTCAGACTGAAGGATATCGTTACACAGTGTGTTTATCACCGGAATCATCGAAAAGTGATTTTTTATTTCTAAAGCCCTGTCATCCTACTTTGCCTTTTAACAACCTGGGTAGTCAGGAAACCGGAACAACAAAATAATTTAGAAGCATTTGCCACGCCGAGAATGGTGGACAAATCGCCGCGATGAAAAATTATTGCCATTTGATGAGGCAGTAGGTATGATTTTTGTATATGGCTACTGTCGGATATCTGTAGCAGGACGTGCAACAGGCTAACTTATTTTCTGTTTTGCTCAGTATAAACTCTGCCTTTAGTACATATCCTGTCAACGTTCCCATGAATTCTCAAAAAGTTTGTTGCAAATTTTGCATTGATGAAGTACGCATCATTGTAGTTCCCTCTGTTTACCTGCTGGGGAGTTGTATAGCATGCACATTGAACTGATTTGAATCGGAAAAATATTTTCAGTGGCTGAATAAATTAACCGGTAACGTTGCATGTAACGAAAAGCTGTATTTCTGTTTTCAGAGATAGTAAGAACTGCTGATGCTGGAGTCAGAGATAACATAGTGTGGAGCTGGAGGAACACCGCAGGCCAGGCAGTATCAGAGGAACAGGAAAGCTGAAGAAGGGTCCCGACCAGAAACATCAGATTCCCTATTCCTCTGATGCTGCCTGGTCTTCTGTGTTCCTGCAGTTCCACACTGTGTTATTTCTGTTTCCAGGTTTCGTGCGTATGATTGATCGTATGGACGCACACATGAAACCATTCACGCTTTTCCAGTAATGAATACGTGGATCAAAAAATGACTCACAATTTCAGAAAATAAATTGTATTTCCATCAGGTTTGATATTGCACAGAGAGAAAAAAAAATAGAACCAGTCTCTGCTGTGCTGAACACTTGAATGAAAGCACTGATTTGTTGGTCACATATTCCAGATATTTCACATTTAGTTGCTTGCCGAGGCTCACAAAACTAACCTCGTTTTCTGTTATTTTTGAATACATGTCCAGTTCCCTCGTGAAAATTACTATCTAATCTCTTTCCAGAACATTTAAAGTTACTCAATTCCGGAAGATCACCCTCAGGAAAGAAATAAATCCTCAATTCACATCTAGATGCCCTGTGATGATTTCCATTCTGTCAGCACAAACAGACCCTTGGTGTTTATTTTATCAAAACTCTTCAAAATTTTGGACGAATTTATTAAATGTTCTTTAACCTTCTCTACTCTCAGAATGGTGAGAATCAGTCTTTTCTCATTTCTCCATACAGCTGAAACCGTCAACCATATACCTACCTAGTAAATCTTCTTTGGAAGAAAAACATCCAAAGCATTGTCAACATTCCGAAAGTGTGATGCCAAGTGTTGGCCACAATACTCCAGCTAAATTGTAACTGAGATATAGAATTATTATCTATTACATATTAAGTCTTTTTTGTTTATTCATTCATGGGATGTGAGTGTCACTGACTGGCCATTGACTTATTCCCCAGCTGCCCTTGAAAAGTCGGTGATGAGTTGCCTTCTTGAAGTACTATATTCCAGTCACTGTAGGTAGACTCATTATGCCATTAGGGAGCGATTTCCAGGATGTTGACCTAGTGACACCGAAGGAACAGTGATATATTTCTAAGTCAGAATGGTGAGTAGTTTGGAGGGGAATTTTTAGATGATCTTGTTCCCAAATATCTGCTGCCCTCGTCCTTCTGGATGGCAGTGCTTGTGGGTTCGGAAAGTTGTGTCTAAAAACGCTGATGAATTTCTACTGTGACCTTTACTGATAGTGAACATACATCGAAACATTACAGATTCCAGCACCTGCAGTAATTTGCTCCTACACAGAAACATAGGTCGCTTTAAAATGCTAAAAGATAAAAAGAAAGACATTACGTATTTATAGTATTCACTGGAAATAGAATGGCTGAATAGTAAAATTAAACCACAAAGCAAGAATAAAAAAAAGTACATTAAAATTGAAATTTAACTTCTATTAATCACTTTTAAGAAATGGCTCTAGTGCTCTGGCCTGTAATAATATAAACATTTCTGTTAGTATACCATTCCCACCAAATAACATTTCAATGTTTGCTTATATGCATTCCCTTTGCCGCATGCAATCATGACTTTCAGTTCCTTTACCTACATGTATCTACCGTATAATCGACACAGATCTAAATCTTCTCTCAGCAGCATTAAAAATAGTAACAATAAAAAAAGGCAGATACTGGTGATCCGAAACAAAAGCAGAAATTGCCTGTGAAACTCACACGTCTGGCAGCATCTGTGGAGAGAAAGAAGAGCTCCCTTTCTGAGTCCAGTAACTGTTCATCAGTACTGACAGCATTACAAATAAAGTAGTTTGTTGACTATGACTGTTGTCTCCTAACTATTCTCATCGAACACGAGTCTTCTGAGATCTTTGGCATGCTATGCAAAATAAGTTATGCCACTACCTTTGCTCTGTTGCATTGTTTATTGTGGTGTAGCTCACACGATTAACTTTTGTGCACTTAAATAATCGAAATGTCTGCAATTTTGGCTAATTTCTTTGTTTCCACAGAACTAGAATTTCCAAATCCAAATATCATTCCTTACTAATTCCCTTCACTGTCAACAAAGCGCTTCATTCTAAAATTGTGCGCAAATGCAGTTCAGCTTTCACATATTATTGGCTACTATTGGCAACCAGGTCTTCCTCTCCATCTCTAGTGTCTAGCAGTTTATTGGTTATGTGCTGCTGCAATTCTTGATGAGAATTGCATTTTGAGTCAACATGTACAAAGAAGGACAAATGTTTTGGGACAATTTACACCGTCTCTCCCTTGACGACTCTGTCAGGGTCAATCAAGCATTTGTATGATGAATATCGAGGTGTACCCCAAACTGATTTTCGAAATGCTGGTCTGAAACCAACGTAATGTAAATTATGGAGGTATGAATGTTTAGAAATGAAAATAAATGCAAAGTGGGTTATCAGTTTGCTGAATACCTGCGCCTGTAGGCTCCAGCCCTTCAATTTGACGACACATCTTGCTCACACGCTCAAAGGTTTGCGCCATACCTCTGTAATATGAGATGTAAAGTCCAGCTTAAACGGAAGGAACTGGTCTGGCACGTTAAAAGTTTTTGGACTCAACACTAACGTCAACAACTTCAGACCATGATTGTGCAGAAACTATGAGATGTATTTTTTTTTCTCATGAATACAGGTTGAGATAGAGATGCCAATCGGTCTACTCAGAGCCAATAGTTTGTGAGGCCTTGGGTTTTTGCACGTCGGAAGAATAGAAGCAGCCTGAATTGGTCATTTCAAGCTCCCCCGCCCAACCCCAAGAGACAGGACTTTTAGTTTTAGTTCTTCAGTAGCAGCTGTTGCTGAGGTTTTGAAAGTGGTTTTGGAAGCTGCATCATATCTCTCCCTGCTCCTGCCTCAATCAGAGATTTCTCTTGATGTTTTTCCTTCCAGACTGGAGAATTGTTTGTGAGACAATCCATTTTACTCAATTTTTCTTTGCCAAGAATGTATTAATGGGAAGTTACTGTGTTGGAATAATTACTGTTTAGCAGTTAAATGATCTATTATTCTGTTAAGTTTTCCAATAGGATTAAGTTATTCCAAATTCTTCTTCCTTTTGTTGTATTTTAACTAATGTGCCTGAATAACGTGTTTTGCTTCGAGACTGGTGGTTTGACAAATTGAATCGCATCAGAGTGTAATGCCTGGCACTTGCCTTTAAAGTAAGCAAAAGTTAGGATCTAAGATATCTTCTTAATACATTTTGAGGAGGTTTGGTTTGGCCGCGATGAACCGGGGGCTCCTGACAGGATTAAGGTTTTTAATTGCAGGTTTGGTTTAGGGTTGTTGGACTCAAGGGCAGTGAGTGGTGAATATTGGTGTTCTGCTTTTGAGTGTGGACTTTGGTTGGTTTAAACAGGGTGTGCCTTGTCTAATAATGGCTCGTTGAGTCACTAAGCGTTTCCTGGTGATGGAAGAAATAATTTAGAGTGTTTTACAGAAAGTGAGCAAGGCCAAGCTTTTGGAATTGACAAACAAACTGGAATTGGTGTTGTCTGTGTCTGTTAAAAAGGAGGGATGATTGTGGCAATCGCACAGCATTTAAAATTTTCAGGAATGCCATAGGAATCTATGGAAATGGCTAAAATTCAATTGAAAATGAAGCAGCTTGAGTTAGAGGGTAAAGACAAAGAAAGAGAAAAGAAAATGAAACAGTTTGAATTAGAATTAAAAGCAGAAGAAACGGAGAAAGAGAGAATTTTTGAACAGTCGAGTCTGGAACTGAAAACTGGAAGTCGACTTAAAATATCAGACCGAGAAGTGAAAAGCAGGGGTAGTGATGAGGACAGTGATGGAGAGTAATCTCATCGTAGGCAAAGTCTTGGTGAGGACATGTTTAAATATATCCAAGCATTGCCGAAGTTTGACAAGAAGAATGTAGAACCATTTTTCATTTCATTTGAGAAAGTGGCTAAACAAATGAAATGGCCAGTACCTAATAAAGTTGGTAGGTCGAACTAGTGAGGTATTTGCATCACTATCAGAAGAGGCATCAGAGGAATAGAATGAGGTGAAAAATGCCATCCTAAGTGCATATGAACTAATATCAGAAGCCTACAGACAACGTTTTAGGAATCTAAGTCGGGAACCTGGTCAAATGTACATTGAGCTTGAAAAGATCAAATGATGTAATTTTGATAGATAGATAAGGGCATTGTAAATAGACCAAACAGATGACACTCTAAGGCAGACGATCATTTCACAGGAGTTTAAAAAATCACCTCCTGAAGTAATGAGAACTCGTGGAAAAGCAGAGAGTTAACACTGCAAATTAACAGGGAGATGGCAGATAATTATGAGTAGGTTCAACAACCAAAGCTGGCTTCTGACATTAATTTCAATCTTTGAGGGAAAGAAATTGTGGAAAAGAGAAATCCTCAGGCAGGTAAAGGAAAAGCAGATCCCATTGAAGATAATAAAGAGAGTTTACCACATGGTAAAAAAGGAAACCCATGAGGGGGGAAGAGAAGTAAAAAGCTGTGGTACTATCGCTGTAATAAAGTTGGCCACATGAAGTTGCCGTGTTGATGGTTTAGAAAAAGCACTGAGAAGTCGGATGGAGGCAAACATGATAAGCCAGTGAGTTTTTTTTTCAAGTGGCAAAGAAAAACACAGTGGAAGCTAAAAAAAAAAAAAATCTGCAGAAGAATGTACAACCTGATCAGGGGTTCATTGAGAAGAAAGTGCCACATCTGTTTAAATAACATACTTGCATGGGTAAGGTTTACTCATGTATACCAGGAAGAGCAGGTGAAGAAATTAAGATTTTAAGAGTAAGGGGAGCAAGTCAATCTTTGATAGTGATATATGAGGAGATATGTAATTCAGAAGGAGTATTGTCAGAAAAAAAGTGGTAATATGTGGAATTCACGTTGAGAAGTGCAAGGTTCCATTGCATAAAGTGAGCTTGGAGAGTCCGGTGTAAAGTGGTGGTGATGGTAGGAGTAACAGCGATATTGTCGGTTCCAGAAATACAGATTATTCTTGGCAATGATATAGCTGGATCACAGGTTGGAGTGATGCCTACTGTGGTTGAAAGGCCAGTGGAAAATCAGGCAACTGAGGTGTTACAGGGCATATATCCTGGGAGTTTCTCCTGACTGTATTGACAAGGTCACAGATTGTCAGGTGGAAACAGGAGGAGAAATAAGGGAGTAAAGATAAGGACGTTGAAGTTCAATTATCAGGACTATATCTGAT